TCTGAGTTTGGTTAGTTTAATTTATACAGATCTCGCCGCAGTGATTTTCCAATAATTTTGACTCACACTGTATATGTTTTGAGCCAGGGATTCATGTCTTTGCTATTACATATACCCGTCATTTTTTCGCCGATCATGCCAGCAGGTTGATTCACATGTGTTAATATAGTACCAGACATGAAGTGTTCTGCGCAGTGTTCATATCTACATGTTTTTCGTGCGACCCAATTTTTCACATAAACTCCTGTTGGTATTTTTCATATTTTTCTGCCGATCATAAATTCCACTAAGAATGAAAAAAATCTCTACCATTTCAGATATAATGCCAATTTGAGTTGGGCTGTAATGGTTTCGTGCGATGTATAAGTGGATATATAGGGTGATATGGGTGAGATCTCTTATAATATATGACAACTGAAAAAACATCTGAAACTTCGTCCACCTCCAAGAGCGATGCCGAAGTATTCCAACTTGAAGCACTTTCCTTAAATTACCTACGAAGCCAAAATATTTTAGCAATTCTGGATGATAACCAGTTACCAAAACTTTACCCGTGCAAGCTCTGCAATAAATCTATATTTGGATTCCGATTCGAAGCTTTTACAGTATTGTATTGTGGGCATCTGCTTTATCGAATCTGCCTTGAAACCCATATTATGCGAGGCGGGGTACGAGAACCTTCATATCCAACCTGTAATTGGGGTATCGAAATTAATAGAGAGGAGCTTTCTCTAGCTTTAGGTGTGTATCGTATAGAGTCTAAAGATAATGATAAAGGACAGGCTTTCCAACAATCGAATGTAACCATTACTGATGAAGATGATGATGGAGGATTAAAAATTATGTGAAGTATGGAATTGATAGAAGAGGACTCGGATACAGCTGAGAAAACAAAACCAGTTAATACGAAGGATCATGGGACAAGCCTGATTGCTAGCGAGGTGCAGATCAATTCAACCGATCAAGATAATGCAAATGAAATCGCAGATTCGTCCTCACTATCATTCAAACGTTCCTATCAACTATTATTTGGAAATTCACAGTCTACTAAAAAAGTTAAAAAGAGTAATGAAAAGAAGGATGGGTCAAAGACTCAAAATGAGGTTTCTTTGAATGTAGCAAAGAAGCTTATAGAGGAGTTATCTACCGAAACATCCCAAATATCAGAAGTTGTGGAAGAGAGTACTGGTAATTTTCAACACTTATATGTTGCAATCAATAAAGCTGAAGAACAAAGCAGGTATTTAAATCAACTCGTGATTAAGTTGTACTACAATCTTGGTAAAGTACTCAAGGATAGGTATGAGCATTTTAAAAATAGCAATCCAAAACGTACTACCCAGGCATTAGTTAATAAAGAAGTTAGGCAACAACTTTCCAACTTGGTTAGCGAGACTTTACTACAAAAGAGAAAAGAAAGAGCTCAGAAAATCTATGATTTATTCAGTGAAATTTGCGAGAGAATGATCCAATGGGTTAAATCTTTTATGGCATCGTCAATTTCAAAAATGAGTCAGGATAATATCGATACTATATTAGTTCATATTTCTCAGTACCAAAATACAAGCAAACATTAAAAGCCATAATTTATGTATTATTGCGCCACAGTCACGTGACTTTGTGACATTGGGTTACATTCTATATAATAAATTCTAAAACACAATTAATAAAGAATTCTTTTATCTTTATATCATATTTGCGAAATATAAAATAATATAAATTGTATCATAAACAATGTGACTAAATCCCAGTGTTTCTAATGCATATAATGAATTTATTAATTATTTATTACAATAACAAATTTCCATATTTCACAAATATATATATATAATATATTATATTTTTTTAGCTAATATTAGTAATGAATTTGCTGTATCTTTGGCAGTAATAATATCACTAATTGTTTCAGATAATAAGTATGTTGCATTTGATTTTAATCTTTTAAACATTTTATATATGTATAAAAAAATAATCTGAAAATCAAATCTGGATTAAAATTGAATTATATTATTCTAGAGTAAATAGATCCCAAATTCTTAAATCCGATATAATAGTATAATCTTATATAATTAATAAATAAGTCATAAAATAATTAATTTTAGCTATTTAATAGCTTATTAAAGTTCTAAATGTCCAGATGAAAAATGGGCTAAATATTGTATAATGTTACAAGTTCATAATAATGAAACTTCTAATGAGTATATAAAACAGATTTGGGAACATTTTACATATTTTAGAGAAAATGATCTCTTATCTTATAATAGCAAAAAATATCTTGAAGTTAGAAAGTTAAAAAGATATTGGAGTGATCTTGATGGTGTTATATGCCAATCCAACCTCAAAGATCAGCATAGGACGAAGAACTGATAGCAGGGAGACACTTTATTTAGGACAT